AATTCTAAATCAAGGTCGTCTGTTTGAATTATATATTTACTGTGATTCTGATTTGTTGAACTGAATTCTATGGAGTAGATTCCGTATTGTTGTGTTAGGTTACATATATCTTTTAGATAGTGATCGATAATTTGTCTTTTGATTTTTACATCTGGGAACTCTGTTTTACATGGACTGATTCCGGGTTCAAATAAATTTAAAAGTAAATTTTTGCAAAATATATGCTGTCCTCTATCAGTGGTTGCATCTACGATAAAGGGGAAGATATCATCATCATCTGGACTTTCTTCACCTGGGGTGTGTGTTGAGCTCATTTTTTCGTTTGATGACTATTAATATGTAATTATCAATGTGTCTAACTGGTTGATTCCAATTGTATAAATGTACTGGTTTGTGTTTATATTGCTTTTTTATTCTTCTTTTTCCTCTTTTTGATGAATTTGAAGTTGTTTCTGAGTCGGAAAAATATAATTGATCGTGAATGGGGCAATTTTTATCTATAGATTCTTTCAATTTATAAAGTTCGTCTAAACTGCTGGTTTCTGATTCTGAAAATGCGTTGCGGTTTTTGGAAAATCTTTTTCGTGTAATTTGTCTTTGTTTGGTTATTATTTTTCTTTTTAGGGTTTGTCGTTTTGTTCTGATATATCCAACTGTTTGTGTGTGTGGTGTGATTACAAGGTCGTATTTTTTGTTATCTATTTCACAATTGTGTAAAACGATTGTTTGTTTATTTCCTAGGTTTTTAAATGACATAAGGTTTAGGATGACGGGTGCAAAAGGTTGTTAAATGATTTCTATGTGCTTAAACTGTTAGTTCTTACGATTTTTTGGTTAGCTTAACCTGGGTCTATTTGTTCAGGGTTGGGGAGAAAAGTATATCGATTCCGAAGAATGATTTTATACTTTCTCGTGGCTAGTATAAGTTAAGGTGTTAACTTACTTAATCTTACTTAAGGGTAGTGATTGTGTTCAGGGTTGGAGAATAGTAAATCGATCCACAAGGTTCAGGTATAATTAGAATGCGAGTAGTTCGTTAGATACTATTTTAAACTTACTAAGTCTAAGATTTATCCTGGGTCTGGTAAGAGGGGGGATCAAGTGAAAGATGAATAACCGAAGTTCTTCACTGTTTATCCTAATTTGAATGATTAGTTTTGTTCAAAAATTTCTGTTAGTCCTGGGTTTTTAGAAAGGGTTGGATAGTGAATCGACGTTTGAGGTTGTTAGACACTAGCTAAGTGGGTGGGGGAGAACAAAATTGTTCTTTTTGATCCAAGGAGAGGCCTTGATGATCAAGTTTTAAATTTAATTAAATAGAAAATGATTTAAGATCCAAGGATAAGCCTTGATGATCTGATTTTAAAATTAAGTGAATTTAAGTTTAAATAATGATTTAAATTTGTGTAGAGAAAAGATTTAGTGTTTTTATGATATTAGTGAGTTTATGAATGCTGTTATGTTTAGGTGATGAAGCTGGAACAACAGGATGATTTATAATTACTAACCATTTATTGTCATGCTACTAATTTTTATTTTGATTTTTCAATAAATATTTTTCAAACATGTTTTGTATATTACTGCAGAATTTAGGAAAACGATCTGAGATCTTTTTATCAATCGTTATTGTATATTAATATTTGTTTAGCGCCTGAAATGATTTTGAAGATTGACTTCAAGATTTTATGTTTGCAGATGAAAATCTAAATTCATTGCTAGTAGTATTCTAAATACAAAAGTTTGTGTTGGCTTTTGCCGAACTATCATATAACTATATGGTGAGTTTCTACTTTGTCGTATGTCGTCTCTGGTTCGAGGTCTTCTTCCAATTCCGGGTAGTTCTGTTATCGTTCGAAATATTGGCTCTGATCTATTGAGTCGTAGAGACATTTCGATTAAATTATCGTCGTATAACATTTTGTAAATGTTTTGTCTAAATTCTAATCTATTTTTTGGTTAATTCTAAGCTATTAAGGTCTTGTTCGAGACTTATGGTCGCACCAGATGAGTTAGGACCGAAGTGTATAACTCATAGAGTAATTTCGGATAGGGTACACCGTCTGCTCGTCACGCTATCTTATTTTCGGCCGGATAGATTCGTGCAACTTCTTAGTCTAATACCAATCCTAATCTTACTCTTATACTATCTAGTCTCAGGTTGTTTAACTAGTCTCTGCTAGGCTCAATAGATCTAGGGTATACTGGTTTATTGCGGTTGCTGAAGTCTTCTTGGAGAGTCAACTAATTTCTAAGTTAAATTCAAATCTCTCTGGTGCTGAAATTACAAGTAATTTCAGCACTTACAAATAAGTGGATTGTTAGTTAGATGGATCATGATTGGTTAATATTAAATACTTTACATTGGTAAAATATCTAATTTATCCAATCATAAAATGTAGTTTAGATCAGGTTCCAATATCGACCACTTTTTTTCAATAATATCGTCAATTTTAGAAAAATTAGAAAATAGGGTCAATTTCATTGGAACTTTAAGAAAAGACCATGATTTTTAGTGGTTTTATTAATCGTTCTCATTGTATAGATTATACTAAATTACAATCGGCTTTTTAAAAAATTCAAATATGTGAACAAGTACGAAAGCAGCGAAAACAAAAATCTGTATCCGCCGTATCATGTTTTCCACTAAAGGAACACTATAAATATTTCTTAGCAATCGTTATGTCGTCATTGAAGTAATGATGGCATGGTGAAATCATCATTAGCTAAGATGTAAAAAAAAACATAAAACAAACAGTTCAGAAAGATTTTAGACCGTTACTGCAAGAGAAGCAGTGCCAATTTGTTTACGTTTTATTATTCAGTCAATCACATCTGAAAGTGCGATACAGATGACGCTAACAAAAATTCGAAGATATAACCACATATATGATCACCTGGCTAAATTTTTTAAAATCCATGTAAAAAGGAACGTGGATAAACAAACTTAATGTAATTTGCAAAAAAAGACGTTTCCGAAACTGGATGTCAAATCAAAGTGAAAACATCATAGTAATTTTGTAAAGAAAGAACTGGAATGAAGAAACAAAATCTGTTTGATGGAAAAGCAGATAAAACATCGGGGAAAAAGAAAACTTAAGTCGAATTTATCATTCTCTAAGAGCCTACAAAAATATTACCCAAGTGCTGATTCAGCTTTTTTGAGTGTTTCAGAAAACAAATTTTGCATTTTTTGGTCGCAGTTGTCGCAACAAAACTTTAGGTTCATTGGATATTTGATTTACCGATGTAAAAGCTGTCTAAAAATAATTGAATAAACGAAAAACAAAACTCTAGTGGCCATGGTGGTTTGATGAGTTATTTCCCGCATTGGAGTTCCATGAATAAAAATTGATTATAATTGAGTTTCCTTGTCAGTGTCCTTAAAAGTGAAATCAAATCGATTATATTCATTTAAAAATGAATTATAATGTTAATATTTTTCGAGGCAACAAAATCCTTTTCTCATCCATTATAATAGATTTTTTTTTCAATTTTGTGGACACTGACAATGAAACTAAATTATAATCGATTTTTTTCCACCTTACTGAGATGCGAATTTCAACGCACATAAAGTCTTTTCTACGTTTTAAATTAAAGTTGGGGGGGGGGGGTAATGTTGAGTAATATAAAAAGTAACAAAAGTGTCAAAGTTAGGTAGAAAAGACTTTATGTGCGTTGGGTATTTCGGAGCCCAACGGAATCTTTTTGCAATTTGAGTTTAGGTTTTGAAATGGATTAGGCCAGGCCGTACACTCGCTTTACAAAGTTTCCGCATCACTCACTTGATAAATGCTGAAATTCTTGCAAAATTTAGCACGACTCGCGGAACAAAAATAAAATGGAAAAAAATCTATTTTAATGTGATTTCTTACTTATTATAAAATCCATTATAATGGATTCAAAATGAATTATAATGCATTTTGTTTTGGCGAGAAAAAATGGATTTAAATACATTTTTAGTCCAATTTTGTTGTCTGAACGTAACATGGGAATCGATTATATTTACAACATTGAAGACCACGAAAAACCACTATAATCGATTTTCTTGCATTAACCAGTCATCGGAGAATACATAGCCATAATTATAGGCAAAGAAACCACTGAGCGCGCCTTACGCGATTGTCATAAGATTGGAAAACTTCGTGCGTTATAAAAAGCTTAAAAAAAGAATTTGAAAAACAAAGATAAATAAAAATCTTTTGAAATCGATGCACTTGATTTAAGAGAAAGTACTGATTAACAGATTTTCAAGTTTTTTTTGCAAGAATCAGTTTTGTCAAAGCAACAGTTTGTTTTCCGTTAAAAACAATCTTGAACTTATGTAATGAGAAAAAAATTTAAACGGATTGCGGCAAGGGAAAAAACAGAAGGTCATGCTATCTTCATTGAGCTCAAAATTGCATTCAAAACTCTACCTCATCAAATACTTATTGAAAAATAGAGAGCGATGGTTATAGCCAACCAAACCAAATTTTGAAATATTGAAAAACTATTTAAGTAATCAGTGTCAAAATTTCACCGAAAAAAAAACATTTATTCAAAACGTCGCACTGTCAAACTAGCAAAATGAACTTTTTTTGAAGATGTTACAAATATTGTCAGCTCTTCTTTTGAGAGTATAAAAACTGATGGAAAATCTTTCAAGGATTGGTGTATTGCTTAAATATTAAGAGTTAGTTCATCTTTATGTGAATGAACGTCCTTTAGAAACTCCAGCCGGTAGAAGTGTATATCTGCGATCAAGTTTAAAAAGTTATGCAAGTTTTTAGGTGTTCACATTGATAACAAAGTTTTTGATGATCACCTAAAATACGTTTTTGTGAATTAAATAACATCTGTCGTGTTATCTGCAAAACAGGAGACATTTACCCAATGACGTTTCTTCCGTTGTTCTAGAATTGTGATTCAGAGAGCATATTAAGATATGGCATCTTCCATCTATGGCTCTACCTGTTTCACAAATGTTATATTGTTTCACTATGTAAGAACTATCAAAATACCTCATGAGTTCCTAGGTCGGCACTGATGGCGGTGGTGATGAGTGCGTAGGGTCCATTCACAGTCATGCCAGAGAGGACTAGGAGGGGGATGCCATAGACATTGTCCGTTCCGAACTCATTGTACAGCAACATACAAGGCAGAGCAAGGATAATGGACAGGGCTGTGACCAGGGACCTGGAAAACCATCAAGAAGATATACATTATGCACAAACTTTTATTTGAACAGATGCTTGAAACTGAATAGAGACCTTTAGCGTGAATAACACTCTCCTTTAAGAAATTGGCTGTCCGCAACATTCCAAGTTAGCTAGCACGATCGAATATTTTAAATTTCAAAAATGGCCCAAAATTGTGTCCATGACATTCTATGCTTATGACTGTCTTTATTAATTTAGCAGCAGTAGTACTAGTGTGTACTGTGTTGTCTACTTTGTGTGTGTGTGTGTTTATGGGCGTGTGTGTAAGTGTATGTGTAAGCGTTTGAGTGTATGTGTATGTGCGTTTGCGTGTAAGTGTGCGTGATTGGGTAATATATATGCGTGTGAGTAAACGAAAAACTTTCGAATAGGTTAAATGTGTGTGGGTGTGTGAGTGTGTGTGTGTACGTGTGTATGTGGGTTTGTGTGTGTACGTGAGTGTGCGTGTATCTCAGTGCACGCTAGTGTGAGTGCGTGTGTGTGTGTGTTTATGGGCGTGTGTGTAAGTGTATGTGCGTGTTGGTTTCTGTATGTGCGTGTGTGCATGTGTGTGTGTTTAAGCGTTTGCGTGTATGTGTATGTGCGTTTGCGTGTAAGTGTGCGTGATTGGGTAATATATATGTGTGTGAGTAAACGAATAACGTTCGAATAATTAAAATGTGTGTGCGTGTGTCAGTGTGTGTGTGTGTGTGTGTGTGTGAGTGCGTGTATCTCAGCGTGTGCTTGTGTGAGTATGTGTTAATGCGTATGTGTGTGTGTGTATACGCGCGTTGGTGAGTGTATTAGCGCGTGTGTGTATGTGTGTGTATGAGTAGATGAGTGTGCGTGTATCTCGGTGTATGCTGATGTGCGTTTGTGTGTATGTGTTTATGGGTGTGTGAAAGTGTATATGCGTGTTGGTGTGTGTATGTGCGTGTGTGTATGTGTGTGCGTGTTTTTGCGTTTGAGTGAATGTGTTTGTGCGTTTGCGTGTAAGTGTGCTTGAGTATGTACTATATATGTGTGTGAGTAAACGAATAACTCTCGAATATTTTTAATTTGTATGTATATGTGAGTGTATGTGTGTAAGTGGGCGTGTGTGTTTTTGAGCGTGTGAGTGCATGTGAGTGTGTGTGTGTGAGTGTGTCAGTGTGTGTATGTATATTTGAGTGTGTGTGTGGGTGTGTGCGTGTGAGTGTGTGTGGGTGTAAGTGTCTGTGTGTGAGTTGTTGGTGTGCGTGTGTGTGAGTAAGTGTGTGTGAATAAGTGTGTGTGTTTGTAATATTGTGTTTGCGTGTATGTGTAGGTGTTTAAGTGTACTTGACAGTTTGTATGTGTGTGTGAGTGGGTGTTTGTGTGTGGGTATGTGTGAGTTTGTAAGTGTGTGCGTGTAAGTGTGTGTGTGTGTGTGTGTGTGTGTGTGTGTGTGTGTGTGGGTGTGTGTGAGTGTGTGTGTATAAGGGTTAATGGTTTAAGTGTATGTGTGCGTGTGTGTGCGTGTTTAAATAGTTGCGAGTGTGTGTGTGGATGTGTGTGTGTGCGTGTTTGTATTTAAGTGTGTGTGTGTGTGTGTGCGTGTGAGTGTGTTTGTAAGTGTGTGTGTGTTGTTGTGTTTGGATGTATATGTATGTGTTTAAGTGTGTGTGTATTATTGTGTTTGCGTGTATGTGTGCGTGTATAATTGTGTGAGTGTTTGTATAAATGTGTGTGTTTGTGTTTTATGTGTGTGTGTGTGAGTGTGTGTGTGTGTGTGTGGGTTTATGTGTTTGCGTGTATGTGTCCATGTTTCATTGTGTAAGTGTGTGTGTCTCTGGGTCTCTGTGTGTGTGTCTGTGTAAAAGTGTCTGTGTATGCAATTATATATGTGTGTGTACGTGCGTGCGTGTGAGTGTGTGGGTGAGAATGTTTGTGTAAGTGTATGTGTTGTTGTGTTTGCATGTATGTGTGTGTGTTTAAGTGTGTGTGTGTGTTATTGTATTTGCAAGTATGTGTGCGTGTTTGAAAGTGGGTGAGTGAGCGAGTGTGTGTGTGTGTGTGTGTTTGTGTGTGTGTGTGTGTGTGTGTGTGTGTGTGTGTGTGTGTGTGTGGGTATGTGTTTGTATATAAGTGTGTGTGTGTGTGTGTGTGTGTGTGTGGGTATGTGTGTGTGTATATATAAGTGTGTGTGTGTGTGTTATTATTTTGCGTGTACGGGTGTGTGTATGTTTGTATGTGTGTGTGTGTGTCAGTGTGTTTGTCCCGAGTCGAGATTTTTCACCTAATTTGAAGCTTTGAGCGGTTTGAGCGGTTTTTTTAGACAATTACGCTCAAAACCTTGCTTCAAAATGAGCGGTTTGAGCGATTTTTGAACGGTTCATCTAAAAAAACCGCTCAAAAACCGCGCAAGATTGGAACGGTTTTGAGCGGTTTATCTAAAAAAACCGCTCAAAAACCGCGGAAGATTTAATAATAAAAAGTCGACCACAGAGGGATTCGAACCCACAATCTTCTGATTCGAAGTCAGGCGCCTTATCCGTTATCCCATGCGGCCCTGAAAATAGTGTCTCGCAGCGAAGCCAATATAAATTACGCACCACAATTCCTGTGACAGTGATACGTACCTCGGCTCTTTTTCCTTTTCCCCCCACCTCACACGAGCTTCAATTTATTAGTGTAACGAGTGGTTTTACGAGGTTGAGTATGAAGACCAAATTTGTTTGTCGTGGCCTTATTAGTCTGTATGTAAATTTTCATAACAATTGGACAATGTGGTCAACAAATTAGCATGTAAAAATTTGCAGGTGGGGGAAAAGGAAAAAAAGCCCGTACCTCAGACCACAGGTATCCATAGTACTGTGCATCGCATGTGCGAAAGTATGGACATGAGTCTGGGACCTCGACCCGGGAAGACGGCTCATAAACCGCTCAAAAACCGCTCAAATCTTCCTTGAAAAACCGTTCAAAAATCACCGCAAGAAATGAGCGGTTTTTGAGCGGTTTTTTAAGCAAGATTTAAGCGGGTTTTCCTAAAAAACCGCCCAAATCGCCCAAACCGCTCAAATCTTGCTGGAAAACCGCTCAAACCGCTCAAATCTTGAGCGGTTTTTGAGCGGGATCTCGACCCGGGTATGTATGTGTGTGTGCTTAAGTGTGTGTGTGTGTGTGTGTGTGTGTGCTTAAGTGTGTGTGTGTGTGTATGTGTGTGTATAAGAGTGTACCTCTCCTGCAGTGCATCAGAGGTGACGCCCATGAGGATGCCCCCCACTATGCCCCCCATGTCGAATGCAGTGGACAGGTTGGCCGCTGTCTGGCTGGACACTGACTGTGTGTTCTGGATGTAGTTCGGCAGCCAGAACAGGAACGAGTAGTTGACCAATTTGTTGAAGAACAGACACATCCCATACTCCACCACTCCCGGCACCTATTTGTACACACAACACAAACGGCAAGGGGTTAAGATAGTGTTCATCACAAAGGAGTGAAGAATAATGAGGGGGAGGGGAGAGAGAGAGAGAGAGGAGGGGGGGGGGGGGGTGTTGTTGATGTGAAGCCTCTCGCTTCTGGCTTCTTTTCACTCTCTAGTATAATGTTTAATGTGGCTTGCTAGATTGTTTTTAAAGAAATTGACCTTGTTCTCAGGGACAGATCTAAGGTTTTCTTGAGAGAAAGGGGCGGATTTTCAATAAATGTTCGAAAACTTTGTCGACTTTTTTCGGTCAACCAAATTGATTTTCTGAGCACTCCCAAAGCACTGAAAAGACCCTGTTTCAGCTAGATTATCCTGCGCAGGCAAAAAATTGAAAAAAAAGAGGCCAAAAATGGCGTTTTCAGGCACTTTTTGAAAAATTTAGACCAAAAATTGCGTTTTTTCGGCAAGCACTCCCCCTTAAAATTAAGTATATATTGGCACCGAAGGCAACATAAGAAAAAATTTAGGGGATGTCACCGAAAATTGATATCACAAAACAGTACAAAGGGAGGCCTTTGGGTCGGCAGGGGGTCGAATCCCGGAGGAATGGGGCGTCCCTGTCATGAAGTTTTGCTTATTTTTTCCATATAAAATACCATTAGATTAGATTGGAAACAACTTATTATGAATATTATTATTGTTTTCACCCCTGACAACTTCAACTGCGGTGTTGCACGTGTGGACTCCATTAGTAAAATTACAGAAAACAGGTTTTCAATCTCATTTTAGGTTCGTTTCTCTCTTTTGTCCCCAACCGATTTAACGTTTTGTAAAAAAACAACGAAGACAGCGACATGAACTAATAAAACTTTTGAAACTACCATGAAACAGAAAATCATTGAGTATGGAAAATAAAATGTAAAACAAATGTAATGCACAAAGCACTACTAGAACTGTTTTTCATGCTTGAACCTTTTTTACATTTTAATTTTGGTCTGAAAAAATTGCTAGAAAGAAGGAGTTCATATCATTACGGTGAGTGCTTTGCGGATGCCAATTGCCGGCTTCGCCTTCTGACTCTCAGTCTTCGGGTCATCCCCTCCACCCGTCGACTCACTCCCCTCCCTCCTGCCCCCCGTGCCCCCGTAGTCTACCATGGGGGCCCTGTCATCATCAGTGCTGTTGTTGAACCCATCCTCATCGTAATACTGCCCCCCTGCTTGGTCCTCGTCATCACTGCCCAATCCCAACCCCACCCCCACCTCAGTTGCTGATGTGTCCACGCTTGCCCCACCCACCGTTGTTCGTCCTGAAGAAATGTAAGAAAACATATTCGTTCAGCAAAAAACAAATATTCTTTATCTTAAGACGACTTTTTCAATTAATTTGATAAAAATGCATCTAGTAATGCATTGCTCCTGAGAAATTTCTTGGGTTCCATATAAACTTTTCTTTTGCCATTCATATATAAAACTATATATCCACAGGAAAAGGATCAAAAATTGGTTCAAACATGTGCAGGTCAGTTCTTAACGCAGAACCGCTGTTGTGGTCTGGTTCAGAGCCACATCCTAATTTTTGGTTATTTTCCGGGCTACAATGAATTTTGATTGGGCTATTTTTTTTGAAGAAGCCTAACTAGAAAAAAATTTGTTCATTTGCAAACTAAAATTACTAGAGCAGTTGAACAACTTCTAGGCAATTATGTCACTTTCTTCCAAATATGGCAATTATGTCACTTATATTACATCATAGGCAATTATGTTACTTCCTAAAGAAGTTGTTCGATTAAAGAAGTTGACCGTATTATAAAGTATGTGTGCTTGCACATAGGTGGCACTTTCCCTGGAATGCAGTTGGGTTCGTGTGGTTTGGGTTGGTACAGTGTACCATCTCTGGGTAGGGGGTGAGGGAGAGGAAGACCACAACAGCACAACACAGCATGATAATAGAAGGCACTATGAAAGAGAGCCCCCACTCTCTGTCCACCCACACGCCTGCTATCAGTGAGCTGAAATCAGAAGCAAATTGGGAAACATTAAGAAATTTTATCCACAAGGGAAATGACCAACATACGAACTGTTCCACTTTTGATGGAGAACCGCGGTTGTGCCTCTGCTTGAGAAAGAACATGAACCTGCTTATTAAGGATCATGGTGGCCTCGAACATCCGACCTTACGATTGAGAGGCGGAAACTTAACCACTTCACCACCTCTCCCCAAAATTTGACAAAACTTTACGAAACTCCAAACTCGACGGGCGTATCTCAGAGTGTTATAATAGGAATTTCATAAAAAATTTTGAAACTTGGTTAATCTTTTTTCGGCCCGCCAGATTGATTTTCAAAAACACTTTTGAAAACATATGAACACTATTTAATTTGTTTATGTCTTTTTTGCGCGAGGTGTGATGGCCGGAAAGAAAAACTTTTCAAGTTTTCTTGGAATTTCAGAAAAAGAAGTTTTTATTGCCAAGTAAGCGCTATATTAACATCAAAAACTTGACTTGTCCTGGAGTGAAACGAAATTTAGGACGGCTTAAGAATTTGGAAATTTTATCATTTGCTGTACTCATCGGAACTTAGGCAAAAAACAAAACTTTAAACAAGTTTTTTTTGACATTGAGAAAAACTTTACAATTAAAAAATTAATGGAATCATGACTGAAAGGGCTTTATTATGGTACAACACGACCCAATCTGACGGTTATTTGTGGTAACTAATCGTGCATGCAAAAAGGAAATAAAACACCTGGAGACAAAGATCCTCCCAATTTCCAGTCATCGGAACATAACGCAGATACTTTGAGGTCAAGCTCGATGGTTTTGGCGTTTTCATTTTTCTGATTTGATGTTCGGGAGAGAAAATTTCTTTCATTTGATGAACGATTTGGAAAAACATTGACAAAAAACAAAAACCAAAGCGCAAGCATAAAAATTAAATTCGACATTTTTGAAAATCAGAAAAAGAAAAAAAGTACATTGCAAATTTAACTCACAGTTGCTAAAAACTGAACAAAAAACATTGACTTTTATGGTCAAATTTCAAAATTTTCGCTTAGATTTTTATATAATTTAAAAAAAAAGTTTGCACAAAAAATTATTTAGCAATCTTTGATATGCTTTGCCTCTGGTACAGAGCAGATTGAATTTTTTTACGTAACCGTTTGTTTTTGTCATACGCAAAAAGATTATAGTCAAATACCAAAATATTATAATGGCGTTTTTCACAGTTTTCCGTTTTTAACAGTAATGATGAAAAGATAAACTTGATTACTAATATTTGCTATAGTTGAGTGCGGGTGGTAACTCTTATTCAAATGAGTCACAACTTGTATATTCGAATTGAGATCGATTCGGATTTTTAAGTTTTTTTAAGGCGGATTACGGGAGTATTCTTATGATGGAGGGACAGAATGATGGAACATTTTTGACCTACCAGAATCGTTGGGCGTTTGTGTTGGTTAAATGAGTTTTGCACGAAACCGAAAACATTGTTTACATAAATTCATTGATAGCAGCCTAACTTTTTGTTATATACCCTTCGTGCAGACGGACAATAAATTGTTAGTTATATTTTTTCCAATACCCGGCTTCAATTTCACAATGCTGAAAAAAATTTCAAGCATTTAGTGCCTCCATCATGAGGGACGCCACGCGCCACCCGCCACCTTGGATTTACCCTTTTGCATGAACGCAACTCATGTAAGAAGTGATAGAAAGAGCGCGCAATAATTATCCTAATAATTTCTTTAAAAAATGTTGCAGATGAACTTTTATTCTGTTCTGAATCTGAAAGCAAGCATTGATGTTTACAATGTGCCAGAAACTGTGCAAACGCTCTGCAAACACAACGTAGATACTTTGAGGTCAATTTTGATGCTTACGGCGTATTCATTTTTCTGATTAGATAATTCGGGAGAGAATATTTCGTTCAATTGATACACGAATTGTAAAATTTTGACAGAAATCACAAACCAAGGCGCAAATTGATAAAACAATTCGAAAATTTCGAAAATCAGATAGAAAACAGTACAATGCGAATTTAACTCACAGTTGCTAAAAATTGAAAAGAAAACATTGACTTTTAAGGTCAAATTTTAACATTTCGCTTAGATTTTTAAACAATTTTCAAAATAGTTTGCAAAAAAAATTCTATAGCAACCTTTGATATGCTTTGCCTCTGGTACGGAGAACATTGAGTTTTTTTATATCATCGTTTGTTTTTATCATACGAAAAGAAGATTATAGTCAAACACCAAAAGATTACAATGGCCTTTGATAGACCGAATGTTGTTATGTTTAGACCATGGTGGCGGTATGTTTCGAGTTTGTGCTCGGCCAAACCCTATTTCGAATTTTGTTGTATTTCGAGCAAGGACATGTGCTCGACTAAAAGTCTAAATATAAAGTGAACACCTCGACTAGGGTAATTCGCCACAAGTAAAAAATGCGCTTAACATTTCCAGAAAGTATAAAGTTGGTTGGACTCATTGCACAGAAGTCGTAAATTCAGGTTAGTATAATGGCGAGCGCGACTCTTTGGAGAACAGGAACTTCAACGGATTGATCCCCAGAGGAATATTTAATTAAAAACTGGTCTAAAAAACTCGGGCATATATGTACCTTACTTTCTTCAAAAGTCGGAAACAATAAAAACTATTATATTTTATTGAGCCTCACGAGCCCTAACAGTGCACTGCATAAACGCAAAAATTCATGTCTGTATGTTCTGGGGTTCCAGATACCAGTTTTAATCACGTTCCAAAATGTAAATGGATTTTACTTACAAAATTTCCGTGGATTCCACGTACAAATATTTGTAACCTAAAATTTGTTGGCATATTAAATTTGCTGAGCGAATACAGCTGGTTGTTCCGAATTCCGCAAACGTAAGCGTATTCCACAAAAAAATGGATTCAGCAATTTTATGCGGATTCCGCTTGCATTTTGAAAATTTCTCACAGTTTACGGAATCCGTTTACAATTGGCGGATTTCGCTTTCAATTTGCGGATTCCACTAGAAGTTGCGGATTTCACGACAGCTTCAACTACTGAAAACATATTTTTTTATTTGATTATTGATTCCATAAGCTATTCCGAACTCCGCAAATTTTCTTGGTGAGTCCGCAAAGCTGCCTGTTTTTGGAAAAATTTTGAATATAACAGTGTATTAGTTATTTTTCCGTGGAATCCAAAACAGCAAATAACATCAATGAAAAGTAGCAATGTTGCGGATTGCGCGACAAAGTTTTTTTTTGGCTTGTTGCAGAACCCGTTTACTATTCAAAAAATGCACTGATTGGACCCGCAAAAAATGTTTTTTTTTTAACTGTCGACGAACGCGGTGAATACTTCTATAGAGGTCGTAATGATTTCTTTCTTTTTTTTTCTAATTCTCTTCTTTTTTTTCTAAGGTTTTATAATTTGCTCTTGCTCAATTTTTTTTCGCGTATTGGCGTTTGATTTTGTTTCAATTTTAATTACTTCGCAGGGAAGACGAACTCCATTATTGATGCAAAAATACAGCAAAACTGTAGAGCTCAAGATAAACGTGATAGACTTCCAACTTTGAAAAGTGTTTTTAACTATCAGATTTCCCAGCGAATTAAATCATTTTATCTTTTGATCCAATTGTCAAATAATCGGTTAAGTTTACTGAAAAAGTTTCAACAAGAAAATAATTCTACGATTTCGAAAAGTTTTAGGGCCAACTATTTTGTCTTCGAAATTCGATAAAGGAGTTTTTTTTTGAAAACAACTCAGTATTTTTTCTATTTACTCGCGTTCAATTAATTTCTTTTAACTGTCTGTTGGCTATATTTTCGAACTCTCAAGCTAAAAATTGGTCAAATTATATTCAATAGTTTGTTCGGTCAAAAAAAAGCAAAGACTTTGTTGACTTTCGGTAAAAAATTTAGATGGATTAATTGAGTTCTTTCAATACTGTAATTCGGCAAAATTTTCTGCGCTGCAAATAATTTTGCAACAAAAAGTCAACAATGATTTTTTTGAAAGACATTTCAAAAAGTTTTTGAGCAAAAACATCGCTTTTTTCAGTGAGCTCAAAGTAACCAAAAATAAGTTTGAAAAACTATGGTCGGTCAGCTAATAAGGAATGCTGCAAAAAAGCGACCCTTTTGGCGGTCAGTAGGTCAAAAGCCTGACAGAGTGTTTGCGCAGTTTCTGGCAAGGACTTAAGTTTCGACCGTACTTGCAGTTTGTTTCGGCCGTGCTTGACCGAAGTTTGTTATGTTTCGACCATGCTTGCGGTATATTTCGTGTTTGTGCTCGGCCAAACCCTATCTCGACTATTGTTTTTTTTCGAGCAAGGACATTTATACTTTGTACTTTGTAGAAGTGTTAAGCGCATTTTTTACCTGTGGCAAATTACCCGAGTCGAGGTGTGCACTTTATAATTAGACTTTTAGTCGAGCACATGTCATTGCTCGAAATAAGACAATAGTCGAGATAGGGTTTGGCAGAGCACAAACTCGAAACATACCGCCAGCATGGTCAAAACATAACAAACTTCGGTCAAGCACGGTCGAAACAAACTGCAAGTACGGTCGAAAATTAACACAACTTGATCGAACACGGTCAAAATTATACCTCATATCTCAAGAACGGTCGAAAAATACCAATTCTTTGCGGCATATCGAAGTCAAAAACAAAAATTTACTTTGAATATCATCATTTTGTTCATTTTTTTAAAAACTCAAATTGAAATCAAGAGTATCCATAAGATGAAACAAATATGCTCAAAAGTGCTTCTCTGCAAAAAATTTAAGAATCAAATAACCCACAAACTTCATTCTGATGATATTACCCGAAAACTATACGCTATAACGTCGAGCACGGTTGACCCTAGTCGATCAAGGGAGGTTATCTTGCAAGATCTTGCAAGATTCTTGCAAAAGAGGGTTATCTTGCAAGATCTTGCAAGATGGAGGTTATCTTGCAAGATCTTGCAAGATGGAGGTTATCTTGCAAGAATCTTGAAAGAGGGAGTCTATCTTGCAAGAATCTTGCAAGAATCTTGCAAGATAACCATCCCAAAATTTCTGTCGAAAAACACAAAAAAAAATAACAGAAATTAGGTGTAAGATCAAAAAAATTGTTTCTAGAACGAGAATCCAAAACTTTTTCGAATTGATCTCAAAAATTTACTTGCATCACTTCAAATAAATGCTTAACGAATAAAATTAGACAAAAATCATGCGTTAAAAAGTAGTCGCATATTTGTTGTTAATTTATTCAATGAGATTAAAAGTATGAACCAATCAAATCTTTTTAATTTATTCGCAATTATTGCGGCTACTGGTTTGCGAAAATTGAAGGATTATTGGCCAAAAAATTTTTGTGACGAATTGCTTTAATTAGTTCAAACCGGGGATATTTAGTTTTTTCGGTTATCGATTTCTAGTTTTGAAAGTGGAATTTACTTTTTAGATTTCCAGAAAATAAAAACTTTACTTATTGATCCAGTTTTCTCAAGTCGGGTTCATGTTATCAAAAAAGCGCCCATCATAAATTGTTCTAGAAATTTAAAGAGCTTAAAGGGCTTCTATTTTTTTCTTTGAGTTTTGAAAGTTGAGATTTTTCAACAACGTCAGTGTTATTTTTTAATGTTTACTTGCGTTCATTACTCCTTTGATGTAAATTGTGTTTTTCCTATTTTGAGAGATTAAGGTATAAGTAGTCGATCAAAACTTGAAGATAGCCGCCTATCACAAAAAAGTTTTAAAAAAAGAAGCTTTCTGGGGGCAACCGCCTAGCGGGCTGTGTGTATGTATGCGTAGCTAAGATTGCTTCCTTCTTCCACAAACGCTACTTGGTTGTCTTCGCGCGCAAAGCTGTTTTTGCCCAAAAAAATTGTATTTTTAAAGATCTTGCAAAAAAAGGTTATGTTTAAAGGAGGTTATCTTGCAAGATCTTGCAAGAATCTTGCAAGATCTTTTAAAGAGATGCATCCTCTTTAAAAGAATCTTGCAAGATTCTTGCAAGATCTTGCAAGATAACCTCCCTTGATCGACTAGGGGAAACATATCTGTTTTGAGTCGAGCACGGTCAAATCATACTCACACTCGGTCGAGACGAGTAATTCGGTCGAGACGGTCGAAACATATAATGAACAACTATCGTTTTTCGTAGCCGCACCACACCATCGTTCCAAATTGAATTGAGCTGAACAGTCTTGTTGGTTTTGTTTTACGATTGTTTCATAGCTGTATCTCAGCCGAACAGTGGGACGAAAATTCGGACACTAAACCACCGCGTTGAACTTAATTATAATTAAAAAGGACGTTAATGGTCTAGGGCGAACATCCGGCCGACAAGAGAAACTGTTGCAAGTATGCGACACAAAATTTAAATCATAGTTAGAGAATAATAAGGCAATGTCGCATCTTTGCTCCGGCAAAGTTGTTTGCCACATTTTTTCACTTTTTGGAAATTTGCGAAATCTTTCCACTTTTCAGATGTTTGACATATCGGATTTAAAGACAGTACCCGAAGTTTAAGATGTAATCACAACAGAGTTTTCGACTTTCAATATTGTTCGTTCAAATATGAATATGACAAAAAAAATAAACTGTGAAACAGTGTTCAGTTCTAGTTGTTGATTTGTGTATTTACCCGAGTATGTTCCCTACGGAGGTGTGGCAGTTCCACACTCCGAGGATGAGACCCCTGCTGCCGAAGCCAAACCAGTTTCCCATCAGGGGCACCACAGCAGGCCAGCCACTACTCTGCACCAGTCCATTCAGAATCTACACCACACACATCACAAACATACCACAGAATCAATCAAAACACGCCATGTCAACAACACTGCCAACTGACAGTTGGAGAAGAGCAATGTGCGCAAGGAACAGAAAAAACACCCTGACCTGGTTTTTCAAATTTTTAACTTTCCAATTTTAAAGAGAAATTAGATGCCCTGGAAACTTTTTAATTTTCAAGAACAATTTATGATTGACACTTTTTTGATAAAACTAACCTAATTCGGGAAACTGGATCATTAGGTTTTTTTCACTGAGAAATCTAACAACGAAATTTCACTTCAAAACAAGAAGTCGATCACGTTTTTTCCCACTTGCCCTCTTCCTATCAAATGAGCAAGTTTTCCAATAAAATAATATCTGAAGAATGGGGAAACATAAAGTAATGTGACTCAAGTTAAAAACATTTTATTCAAAGAACATTTTACGAAGTCCCACAACCGTTGTCGGAAGTAGGTCGATGGAGCATGATGAAAATCCAGATGAATACGTATCTAGATTAATGGATGAAAATCATTGCAGAAAAATGTTTGAAAGCTTGATTCGATACGTTAAATAAATCCCAAAAGTAAGCAACTCAATTGTATCTATAATCAGAACGATACTATTTTAGAGGCCAATCGACGATGTCAGACACTCCGAAGTTGGTACTTGTCAACGATGGCTAGCATGGGAGGAGAACAGGAAAGATTGAATGATAAAGAAACTTGAACTAGTTTCAACTTGACGACTTATTTTAATGAATATGACATTCCCTCTTGTGAAAAGAAATTTGAATGAGAGAAAAATAAATAAAAAGCCGCCGTTGCCGGTTCGAATTCCGCCTTTGCAGGTTCAGGTTGCGCAGGTGGTTTTTAGGTTCTTTGAACACTTTTTTGATCTTTTTCGCTCTTTGACCGACTTACTAGGAATGTCGCCTGTTTCCACAGTTTTGCTCGTTTTTGCTCGCTCCGTGTTGCTTCTGCTCGAACAAGATCCTGACTTTTCGCTCGCTCCTGCCCTCTTCAATTCGGTTGCCGGTTTTTCCCGTTCGCTCCGTTGGCTAAAACTGCACCGAGGGCCATGATGGGGCCTGATTCTGGGGTTTTGGCTGGCGGATGTCCCTCGAGTAGTACCGATACTGTTAGTAGTTTCTCCGTGACACGCTTCGATGATAGCGGCTTATTGTCCTCATCCGATTCCGTTTCGTCTTCGGATTGCAATTGTCTCCTTTTTCGCCCGGCTCTGCTTGTTGCAGTCGGTTTTCGTGTGTCAGTGTCTTTGGAGACTATCATGTTTCATAGCTCATGTGGCGTTGGTGAGTTTGTGAGTACCCCCGAAGTTCTTTTCTTGGAGGATGTTGTCTTTCATATCGCGACTCCGGTTTTCCTAAGCACACTAGCGTTACTCATTTTTAACGTGTGTGCAATTTCCGCTTTTTTTTCTATTAAGCAACCTATACCTGTTCAGGTTTCGCCCGGCTGTCCGTTGAAAAACCACGCTCGATGGTACTGCCTCTGAGGTTGGGTTTTCAGTTGATCGGCCATTTGGTTCTATTCCCTGGCCGACTGGCGTGATTTTGAGCGTTGCGTTTGCTGAGAAACGTAAGGCGCCCAGATCCCTTTTGAGCATTTCCTCCAAGGTCTTCGGTTTTTCTTCACGGGTTTATAATAGAATTGAGTTTTTCAAACGTCCTATTATTCATTCAATGCTTCCCGTTGAAAGAACAATAATCGTTCATTCATGTCTACACCCTGGCCGCTACAGAAAACGTTTACCTTTTTGAATATGAAACTAGTGCCTTGGTCGACATGAACTTTCTTATGAACCCCAAGAATGCAAAAATGTTTATGTAACTCTAGGGAACCTAAAAATTTTATATGCGCGGTCCGTATAACAGACCACCGCTGATGGCCTTCGTGAGAAACTATCCAACGCTCCAATCACGTACTTTTTTGATTCATTGAGGCAGTTTAAGGAACCTAATGTTGAAAGACTAATTGGACTGCCTCATTGGGCTCCTTCTGGTCCGCATTTTTTCCTATATCTTCTTGGTACATAGAGATCAAGGTTCTTACCCACAAGCATACACTCTCTTCATTTTTGTCCATTGACGCAATGTTCATGTGGATATGTGGGAACCACATAACCTTGGCCGCCGTGAGACTTTTTCACTTTCCCAGGTGGTAGCAATAGAGCCTGTTGCTTACTGCCTTGTGCCATGTGTTGGGGATTACCAGTTTCTCTTTTATCCAAAAGCAGTTGTCGCAAACGTGGAATGCATTTAAAAATATAGATCAAGGTAGTATTTTGAGTATTATTTGTTCACAGCATGAACTTTTGAGGCCAGGCGCTATTCTTGGGAGTTATTTAGTAATTCTGGGTCGACGATAGGCATTATGCAGTTCAAGGGTAGAGGGAAAGATTCTGAAATTCGAAATTGATAGAACCATATTTGCCTTTGTGCTCTTTTTTTTTATGGTAATCACGTCAACCTGAGCTTCTCGAATGTCTTTCGAAAATTTTTTCCAGTTTCCCAAAAAAAAATTCCTTTTTTCCGATGTAATTTGAGTTCTTATCAATTCCGGCGTAAATATTTTAGAATTTCTAATTGCCCCCAACTAATTAAGAGACTTCGCCTTCGTTATATGCAAATTCCTGCCTTATGGTTGGCTGGTTCTGTGTTGCATGATAATCCGCCCTCTACCGGCCGTTCCAGGATTCAAAGTTTGCATACTTTGATTTCATAAGCTAATAACCTCTCGCTTGCGTTATTTTTTGGTTTAATGTCCGATCCCTCGGATAAAATTTTATTAGTAAATCCGAGCTACCAAATGACTTCATCTCTGCTACCGTGAACTTGCTGTTGCATATTGAAACTGCTTTTGTCTCACTTGCTAGGTTTAGGGACAGATAATCTGCTAATCCGATTTTAGCCAATGGCTTCTGCTTCACCTCGAAGTTAAAGGGTATTGACCGATCGAGCCATCTCATTAAACGGCTGAACATTGTTGCATTTTTCTTGTTATTTTTGTAGTATGATACGAGTGCTTTGTGGTCGGCTATAACTTGAAGTTTCTGGCCCTGAACATAGTTACGAAAATACTCTTCTCCCACTCTTCAGCTAGTATTTCTAGTTCGTTTGTCGAATAACTTTTTCGGCGTTATTTAGGTAGCGCAATGCAAACAATATCGTCTGCCAACCCTAGAAATGCATATCAAGAAAATTGGATTAATCACGTTTTTATGCACTTTTAAGCATTGATTTTCGTGGATTCTTATCGTTTCGATGTCTATGGAATACTTATCTATATATTACTGCCAAATTCTCAGCCGATTGTTTTTAAGAGCTCGAAGAGTTTTTGACCCAGTTTTTTGAAGTTTCGTGGGTTTTTCATGGAAGTTTCAGGCGTAAGAAACGTGTTTTAAAGTGCTCCAAATGCGACTCCGTAAAATTAGTTCATAAAAATCATAATTGTTCAGGCGTGTTTACCTGACTGGAGAGGAAGAATGCGAGATGATGAATGTGGAGGAAGTAGCCCAGACCGAACATGGCAGTGAAGAGTGCGCTGAAACAGAAACAGTCTCCTTGTCAATTATGATCAGCAGCTTCATTGGTTCAGTGGTCCAGACAGCTCCCGGGCGATTCTTGCATGATTATTATTTTGACCCATTCAACATAATTTCATCAAAAATTTGCGACAATTATTAGTAAGAAACTTAATGGCATGCTCTTGCAATTTCAGGCAAAGTGAGAAAAATTGATCTAAAAATGATCAACTAAAAAAAATTATTTCACAGAAAAGTAGCAGTCGGAGGTTGAAATATTCATTCTAAAATAACTTTTGGTGGCAAAAGATACGGTGTACACCGAAATTAATTAAAATCAGGCGTGTTGACAACCGCCATAAACGCCATACTGTTTATACTTTTGTTTATGCGCATTGCCCTAGTGTAAACATGTTGCCGTTTCGACAACGCCCTGAATTGTTGGTGTTCTCCCGATGTTACCTGAGTGTCATTCCAATAGTGAGGAAGTATCTCAAGTCAACCCTCTCTGCAATGTGGCCACTTACGAACATGCCCAGAGCATAAGCGAACAGAAAGCCACTGTCCAGAATGGCGATCAGACTGCCCTGCATTGCAAACATACAAGAACAAATACATGACCACTAGAAGAGGATTCATATAGCAGTTTTTTTCCCTGATGGTTGGGGAATTTGTTCTGATTCTACTCTTTAATCACCCAAAAGAGATGAAAAGTCGACTGTCCTTCGTTTTCTGTTTTTTTTTTCAGTCCAAAGGTCGGTGGATCAAGGCTCGAGGTTTGATATAAGTTAACTGTATTCTCTTTGGGATACAAACCAAGTTTAATTGGGCAACCTGATAATCCTCTCCAAGAATGTTGGGTTAGTCCAAGATGGTATCTAGACTGGGTTCTATGTGTCTAACTGTAAGATGTATACCTGGGTGTCGGGGTTGTCGAATGGTGCCCATCCTTTCTCCCCCTCCCCCTCTTCTGATCCTGTACTGCTGCTGCCGTTTTTGAGCACAGGAGTGACGACACTGACCACCTTGCGCGTCAGATGGTAACACATGTATGTCATGAATGTCAACCTGCATCCAGTTTATTTAATTCAATTTCAGACCATTTGTCCATTAGGTAACCTACTTTGTAACAAGGTTAGCCAGTTGCTATGAAAGTAGCCCAGAATGATCCGACCATAATCATAAAAAATATTGAAAAAAAAACTCTTTTTTTTTTCAATGAAGTGCCATTTTTTGTGCGAGGTGTGATGAGAGAGCTATGCGAACATGCAGGGGCGGATTTAAGGGGGGGGGGGGCGGACGCCCCCCTCAGGGATTCGACCCCCTGCTGACCCAAAGGGTCCCCCTTTGGTACTTTTTAAGATATCCATATTTGGCCGACCGACCCTAAATTTCTTCTGAAGGCGCCTTTGGCGCCATCATATACTAATTTTGAGGGGGGAGCGCGCGCCAAAAAAAACGCAATCTGATTTACAACAACTATTTTCTATGATTTCATTGCTTTTTTTTTGAGCTCAGAATTGGTTTCATTTGAGTCTTTTACTAAAATTCTAAAATATCTGACACGTGTATTTTCATTTAAAAAATTAAGAATAGATTTTTTAAATTTACTTTTTGAGCAAGTTTTTGCAGTGTTAGTAAAAAAATCAATTTTTTTGAGTCGGAAAATCCATCCAAATCGATTTAATATTTAATAGACACTTGAATCGCTCCAAAATTTTCAGGAAAGGTCGATTTAAGTCGATTTAAATTTTATTTAAGTTCGTTAAAAGTACATTATTAATCAATTTGGATCGATTCAAAGTCGATGCAAAATCAACTGATCCGAAACCATTTTTGTCAGTGCCGGACAGCTTAATAAGGTATACCAACGTCAATAATTCCCGATGTTTCTTTGCTACCAAAACAAAATCCGGTTGCATTTAACAAGTTCGATTTCAAAACTCGCTATTTAGTCGCTCAATAATTGTTATAGTTTTGGCAGAGTTGGCAAATTGTATGTTATTTTCGAAAGTAACAAAATAACAGTTGAAAATTTAAAAAAAACACGTTATTTATGAAGAGAAATGCCAGTTTTCCAGCTTTCACGACACCAAGTTGGGCTCTGAGTTTCCCATACCTGAATACATCACGTTAAAGAGTTGCAAAAAAAACCAAAAAACCCGAACTGAAAAAGATCAGCACACATAAAAATAAATAGCCCCCCCCCCACACACACACACAGACACACACACGGATTGACATTCAATCTTAATAACATTCAATCTGAAAATCATTTATATGCGGATTGTTTTTCTAAAAAATAATCGCATTTCTAAGAAATAGCTAACATCACTGTTAGATCTTATAAAAAAAAACATTGTAAATTAAATGGAGCGTTAAATAACGATGTTGAATAACTTCCCAACTGTGAGTTTTGGGCTACTACGTGGAATGAGGGGCCACATGAAAATGTGTACAAAAACTCATTAGTTTAATACAAAAAAACTGAAAGAGAAAAAACCGCGTAGTCTCATTTAGTTTTAAGTTCTTTCGGTAACCCATCAATCCGTTTCGTATAGCTTTTTAAGTTAAACCTGATGTCACGAAAATTGGTGAAATAAAGAATGAGAACTTGAAGTCTGCATCAACCCCTTCATTCAGTGAGAAAAAAGAGGGAAATTGTGATCTTTGCAGTAGACTGACCCCATGGTAAGGTACTTGAAAATCTGTGTCTTCCTCCTCACTGGAACGCCCCCTCTTCCTCCTCTTCTGCTGGACAGACACCTGGACAGTCCAATGGCCAGCAGGGGGGTGGAGGAGTCATGACTGAGACTGGGGGGAGAAGGGAGAGTGGTCGTGGTCATGGAACTAGTGCTCATTCTATGGCCCCTTCTGCTCTGCTTCAGATCATTTATGGCTCTTTTCCAGTTACCCTCTGATTTTACTGAAACAAGATTTTACTTTGAAAATGAATTAGTTTTTTATATTCGGCGGAAAACATGTCACTATTAACAAAAGAAAACGTTTGAACGAAATTTGAGAGATGCAAGTCACATTACGAACAAGTTTTATTTAACTTTATTTTGCAAAGTTACTAAAGGGGCTAAAAATGGAAAAGAACCGAAATGGCTGCAACCACCATCAGAGGCAGATGTTCCTTCACAGTTGATGCTTTCTGTCCACTAGAAGTGGAAACACTTTTCGGGTCCATACAGTTCAACACTTTGCCTCTAAAAGTCGTGGAAACGTCACCAAACACTAACTATATCCTGAAGTTTTTTTTCCACCCAAAATCTGTAAGGGATTAATTTTCTTCTTGGTTTTGTCTCGCAAGAGGTATTCTTATAATTTCTGTGATTTCAATTGAAGACATTTCCAGTTATTTGTTTAGGTTCAGATGACTTATATCATCAAAACCTACTTATAACTAAAAACTATTATTGTAAACTGTAACTATTATTTGTGATTTGAGACTATTTATTGTTAGTTTGAACAACTATAAGAATCAATTTGAAAGAAGAAATGTAACTATAGCAAATTTGATAATTTGGTAAGCTTTGTCGTTTTGTTTTTGTTGGTTTCGTTTGTTTAATTTACTCTTCCGAGTAACTTGCTCGTTCTATAGCATCACTAACTTTTTGATCTTGTTTATTTCTGTCAGTCGGCCTGATCTACTTATTCCGCATTACGCTATTACGTCACTTATACCGAATAAATAAATGGCGCAATGTCCTTGCAATAACAGAATGATGACCAAAGATTTAGACTTTTCGGATAAAGTTTAATTGTCAATTAGTTCAATTGGTTCGTTCTACAAAACGGTCGACAAAAATTTAGAAAAGTTTTTGTAAAAATCGTGGATCCTCACCTTCAAGTTTATTTGAAAACTACATAAACGTAAAACTAAACGATGCAGTTTCAAAAACTGTAATGTATAATTGATTTTTTTTAAAACTAAAGGGCTGACCTTTTACAAAAATACTCAGCAAAATTTTCTTGTATGGAATAATGTTTATCAAAGCGGTTTCTTTTAAGTTTCTGTATGTGGTCAACCAAGAGAACGGATCACACTATCCCGTTTCAGGTGCTATATAACAAGTGCTGTTAACATCGCCAATAAGAAAATGAGTTACAAATAAAGGGTTCAAAAGACTGAGTTTTAGCAAATTAGACGAATCGGTTCTGGAGTTATGAAAAAATATATATTGGAAAAGTACTTGTAGCCAGCGACATCATTGGAACAAATATGATTCAATTACCCGGATTGAACTCACCTGCGGTCGTTGTTGTCACTGTAACGCTGATCAACTGATTCAACGAAATTTCAGGGCTGATGTTGGGACTTTTCAGAAGGGGCTATTAAAAAAGCATGTAGATAAAATAGCCTAAAATGCAATTAAGCTTCATTTATGCGTTATCGCGTGCTTTTTGTAACTATTCTTGAAAGACTAAATGGCCATAGCGAAATTGCTTAAAGAACTGAAAGAAATTTCGCTATAGCCTTTTAGTGGCTGATGCAAGACAATTTAATCAATTTAAATTTTTTTTTACAAAAAAAAACAATTAAAAGCAAACAAAAATATTTTGTTGTGCTCCTTTACAAATAATTTTCTCATATACATCAATTGGATAGATAGATAGAAAATTTTGTTTAGTATTGGTATCGGGAAATCTGCATGTCTAAAAAAATAAATGAACTTTTTTTTCAAAAATTTCAAGCTTCTATGCTATTTTATCTTTATGATAAAGCAGCGCTCCTCTTTTGAGAATAGTGCAAAAAAACAAAAACTAATGGGGCTACAACTTAATCTAAAGACCCCTAGTCACACATGTCTTCTATGCACCACCGCTGCTTATTTCAAGTTTAAAACTTTACTGCAACAACTGCGAATTTAAAAACTCATTTCCTATTTTGAAAAATTTGTTAACCGCTTTCTAACCGCTTTACTTTTCGTTAAATTATTAACCGCTGAAAAATTAACACATTAAACTACACAAAATCAGAAATCACGATTGATGAAAACTAACGAAATATTTTAAAAAGTGTTTTCAGATCCGAGATCAAACCTTAAAAAAGCTACCCGCACTGAAAATTCATGGATAAAAATCAATTATATTGGATTTTCCTTGTCAGTATCTATTTAAAAAAAGTTAATCGATTATAGTTGATTGAAAATTGATTATAATTATACTGTTTCTTGGGCAATAAAATATCAATAATGATCGATTATTTTCAACTCATTTTCAAAAAAATTTATCAAAGAAAAGTTATCAAGTTGAATCGATTATAATAGATTATAACCATTTATTTAAATATTTTTGCGTGTTGTTTTCATTTTTTCATAATTTTGTTAAACTTAAGTTAGTTCTTTTGTTCTCTCGCTAACTTATTTTTTTCCTATTTCAATCGCGTTTTTGACAATTTACAAAAAGTGACCCATAGATCTCACACCAACCCCCACGTTTATCCGTACTACATTTACCTGTCCCGATAGAGGTGGTTAGTGGCGGTTTGGTAAATGCGTGGGGAAGGGTGGTTTGATTTAAACGCGCGGAAGGAGGGAGATGATGTGCGTAACGTGGGGGGGGGGGGGGTTGTACGTGTGGGTGGGGGTACAAGGGAAGTAAGCGGTTTAGGACGTGGGGGGCAGGTTGGACGAGGAGGGTGGGGGGGGCGTGTTGAGACTTAGCGGAGGCATGATGGGGGTATTGAGTTGTGGGAGGAAGAATGCGACTGGAATTTCAAAAAAAACCAATGCACTCGCTTAACACTAAAAAGAACGTTTTTCGACCAAACTTTTAGCGCCGCAGGCACATTTTGAGAAAAATTGCAAAAATTAGAGTATTCAGCTACAAAATTTAGTCCATTTTCATGGATTTTATGTACCAAAAAGAATCCATGTATTTGTTCATGGATTCAAGGGCCGATTGTGTTTGTTCAAAAGCATAGATTCTACTTCAGTGAAAAATTCAAAAAATAGTGTGGTACCGCAACTGCTACTGCTATTGCAGTAATTGCAGTAACTATGCAGTCATCATATATTGGCCTTGACAGTGCTATTCACATCTGCTACTGCTATCGCAGTAACCAGGCAGTCGTCATATTTTGGCCTTGATAGTGCTATCCATATTGTTATCTGTAAATTATATAATCCTATTATAAAAAACCAAGGTCAAAGAATACGTGACCTTTTACAAAACCTAGAGAGTTAATCTCTCAGGCCTGTGGCTAAGAACACAGTCAGCAAGAAACTAACAACAGAAAAACATACGGTTTCAACATGGTTAATTAAACTCTTCGAAACCAAATCAGTTTTCACTATACAACCTCAGAGGTATTGTTAGTTACCACATGGCGCAGCCAGCAGGATCCGGTTTTACAGCTCAGGATAATAGGACTGATCTAGGAATCCCAGTATTTTGGGCATCCGCAAATTCAGACCCACCTTGGAGTTTTGAAACGTGGCTTGACCAGTTCCTATTAGCTGTTACAGTTAAAGAGAACGTGGATCCAGAAATAATAAGAACGTGGATCCAGAACCCAAACCGGTATTAGAAGAACCTCTACCAACTCCGGAAACATCAGCGCAAAACGAGGATGAGATTGCGACAGCAGAAAGAGAAGCTCGGAACAGATTGGCTCGAGACAAAGTGGTTCAAGAAAATGAAGAACGGACACTAAGAGGACCTAGAGTGGGACATAATGTATTCTACCACGAAGTGGGCAAACGGCTAACATCGAGATTATTCCTCGCCTTAGGAGCGGAAGGGAAGAAAAAATTTATCCAAAAGAACCCTCACGCAGAAATATCCAAACTAGGGTTTCGCGATATAATTCGATTAGCAAAAATCTCATTTGAGAAAACGAAATGTATTACCTATGAGAGATACAAACTGTTCACACGATCCCACGAATCAAATGAAACGTTGGAATCTTTTCATGCCGCACTGACTGCACAAGCAGCAAAGGCTGAATTAGGAGCGTTGGAAGAAGAATTGGTACGAGATTTATTCATCTCCAGAATGAAAAATGCTGTCCTCCAGGACACATTGACTTTCGAAACATTCTCTCCAGAAGAAGTCTTAAAACGTGCACTAAAGTTTGAATATAGCAAACAAACCACCCAAGCATTCCAAAATTCTTAAAGCACAAACAGCTCAGGACTGTTTACAACTCCACAAATGAAGATTAAACAAGAACCAATTATGGCAATCGGAAACAAAGGGTATAACTCTAAACGTCAAAATCAAAACAGAAGAAAACAGTACGAAAACAAATCTCAGAAAAGTAAAGGAGATCAAAAACAATGTACGAGATGCGGTAGAGCATTTGTAGAGAATCATTTGAAAAATTGTCCGGCAATGGGCAAAACATGTAAAAACTGTAACAAACCAAATCACTTCGCTAAAATGTGTAAGTCTCAACAAGTTAACGAAATCGCAAACGAGGATTCGAGTTCAGGGGAAGAGTGCAACCTAATACAAACGTTCGATTCATGTGATGAGTTTGAAATCATGACAGTAGAGGAAGATTACACCTCCATTACGGACATAGAAAATTACATCAACAAACGGATTTCGGAAAATGCGTACGATAATGCAAGAATTCAGAAAGAAGCATTGCCGGAAAAGTCGGGTAACATTGAAAAAATTGAAATTCGCAGGAATCCCAAATCGCATCAGATTAAAGCGCTTAAAGCTCTAGTTAAGATCGATAGCCATATTTTGAATATGACTATAAATACTGGCAGTCCAGTATCACTCCTCAATTGGGCAACAACGAAACAAATTCTGGAAGGACCTTCAAATTCTAAATTTATTCCGGCAGAAAAGCTGAACCTGTCCGCGCAGTTTGTGGATTATAATAAACGACCTATTTTAATATTAGGAGCGTTAAAGGCCAATCTACGTTCGGCGGGTTGGGAAGTGTTGGGAGCGATGTTA